CGAAGCTCTCTTTTCGACACCGATCGACATCTGCTGTGAGTAGCAGGACGTGCTGCAGCTCACATCTGTTACCATGATCTCAAACATTCACCCTGTAAGTTTCCTTCAAGTTTGCTGTTCTTTTTTTAGGTTTTTTCACAAGGCTCTGCGTGGACTCGGCTTACAATCACGATAGTTGCATGATCCGTCCCTGATGCGGACGGCATGCTATGTGAATGGCGATTGGGTAGCGGCTGGCTCCAGCAAAACATTTAACGTTGAGAGTATGTGTCGCATCCGAGTCTCGCAAGGCTCAATCAAGACTGAGGTCATTTCTCCTGGGGAAACCATGCTGACCATGTTCTAAGACCCTTCAACGCTGGCATCCGTAGCTCAATGTCCTGATTTCGATGTTGAGGACACCGAGGCTGCCATCGAAGCAGCGCACCAGGCATTCGCATCATACCGCAAGACACCAGCTCGCACGAGAGCTCGATGGCTCCGCCGGTGGTATGAGCTCATGATCGAGAACGCCGAAGACCTGGCACGCATCATTACTCTCGAGAATGGCAAGCCACTTGCAGATGCCACGGCCGAGGTCCACTACGCAGCGAGCTTCTTCGAGTGGTTTTCAGAGGAGGCGCCGCGCATTTACGGCGAGACCATTCAGGCGAGCAACCCGAGCTGCAGGATCGTCACGCTCAAAGAGCCCATTGGCGTCTGTGGCTTGATCGCACCATGGAACTTTCCCGGCGCCATGATCACCCGAAAGGTAGGCCCGGCGCTGGCGGCAGGCTGCACCGTCGTCGTGAAGGCGCCGGCCGAGGCACCTCTTACGGCCCTTGCTCTCGCCGAGCTGGCGCACAGGGCTGGTATCCCCAAGGGCGTTGTCAACATTATCACGGCATCGGCACACAACACCATCGCGGTCGGGAAGACTCTGACGACCCACCCCATCATCAAGAAGGTGTCCTTCACCGGATCCACTGGCGTGGGCAAGATCCTCATGAGCCAGAGCTCTACCACACTGAAGAAACTCTCCCTTGAGCTGGGCGGTAACGCGCCCTTCATCGTCTTCGAAGATGCCGACCTCGATGTCGCCGCCCGGGGCCTAATTGCATCAAAGTTCCGCATCTCGGGCCAGACCTGTGTTTGTGCCAACCGCATCCTTGTCCAGCGCCAGGTGTACGACGCATTCACGCGGAAAGTCCTTGACATCGTCCGGACGTTCAAGGTTGGCGACGGCCTCAGCGAAACAACGACACATGGGCCACTCATTCACCAGCGCGCAGCCCAAAAGGTGGACGAGCACGTCAAAGATGCCGTCTCGAAAGGTGCTCGAGTGCTCCATGGCGGCGAGCCTCTGAAACATTTGGGACCCAACTTCTTCGACATTACTTTGCTCGCCGACATGGCGCCCGGAATGAAGATCTGCACAGAGGAAACGTTTGGTCCTATTGCAGCTTTCTTCGCATTCGACACGGAGGCGGATGCTATCGAGATGGCCAATGACACAGAAGTCGGTCTTGCCGGCTATTTCTTCAGCCAGGATGCGAGCCGCTGCTGGCGGGTAGCAGAAGCACTTGAAGTCGGCATGGTTGGGGTCAATGTTGGTAGGTTACCCTTGCAAGCCCACACGATACTGCATGCGTGATTTCGCAGTCCATTAACCTTTATCACAGGCTCCATTAGTGACCCAGCTGCGCCTTTTGGTGGCGTAAAGCAGAGTGGCTTTGGACGAGAAGGTAGCAAGTACGGTATTGATGAGTACCTGGTGACCAAAATGGTCATGACAGGTGTGAGTGAGTCGTGAGCCATAGAATCAAGAGGGGCCTGGTAGCCCATAGCGAGATATAGCATGCATCGTTTGCATAAAAAATACCATAGAGATGATTGTGTTGATAATTTCATGACTCTAGACCGTTGTCACGGGCCTCATCGGTTCTTTGAGGACGAGACGTCAACGCATTATGTGTCCCGGAACGCCAACCCACTTGCGCATGATCCCGGATCTGCTCAAGAATTCGCAAAGTCGAATTCTCCACCAAATACCCATCATCTGGAGCCATGGGCTGCCAGCAATTTCTGCGCCTCCCTTGAAGCAGGACGCCCGACTGAGCGTTCGAAGATGTGACGGTCGGGCAGGCCGTGCAAGGAATCGGCAGTGCGCAGTAGCACTTAGCCGGTATCCTTCACGTCCTGACCTGACTCAGGTATGCCGCCGCCGAAAGAGGCAAGAAAAACGCCCGGCCCCGTGTACTCGGCCATGGTCCTACCGGCCCCCCCAGACAAGGAACGAAGCCGTGTCACCCGGTGCATCGCTGTTCCGGCGGCTGCCAGTCAAGTCCCAGCCCCTCGAACACACGCTGCTCGGCCGTCACCATATCGGGCGCTGTCCCTTGATTCCCTCTCTCCAAATCGACCCAAGACCCGTCTGATCGTTTGCGTATGCCACTGCTGTCGAATTTGTACCCTAATTCCTTCTTACAGTACCTTCGCACATCCCTCTGGAAGGTCGTCCCGCCACTCCACCCTAGAACTGCGCAACCCACTGTCTTCCACGGGCTTATGATGATGTCGACACGCCGGTGTGGCCTGTCAGAAGCCGAGTCTTTGCTCCCCGGCTCCTGCCAAACCACCATGGCCTTATCGAGCGTGTCGAAACCCGCCCCCTTGGTCCTAGCAGTATCAGCCTTCCACGTGAGAGGCTTCTGGCCCCTCTCACTGTTGTGAGTGCTCAACGTAAGTGTATGCGTGATGAATTGTGCCTTCTCGAGAGATGCGACGAGCCTCTCGATAAACCTATAAGTGGCATCTTCGTCCGCATGGCTCAGAATAACATCGACGTCACCGCTGCTTTTTTTGCCTCGCCTGTGACCCCCGACAATGGTCAGCTGGAAGCCAGGCTCAATTTCTTGAGCTTGTCGAAGAATGGTGGCAGCAATGGCTTCCACCTCATGGCGTGGAATGGGTTGGAGGAACTCGTCATAATACTTGACTCCGATCTGCTGAACACGGCTGAGGCGGTCCCAGCCGTATTCAACTAGATCATCCAGATCTCGCCAGCCCTTTTTGTAAAACTCGCGAGCCGTCGTGTCACCGACGCCCCATATATTATAAAACAGGCGAAAGACGGGTAACCTTGCCTCCTGTTGTGAGGAATCGATCTCCCCAAGCGAGCCAGTTGTTTTCCACTGATGATAAAGCTCGGCAATCTTACTGCCACAACCAGGAAGTCTTGCTACTTCTGCCTTTGAATCAGTCTAGTTCTCGCATATCACCTAGTCATGACTTATCAGATATACTAACCAGGAGAAGTGGATATCGCATAAGGGTACGCCGCTACAGTGGCAATTGCAGTCGAATAGGCACGCACACCAATCTCATCACCGAGCAGTTTTCGTGTCGTTCGTATCTCTTTGAGTGCCTCTACAAATTCATTGTTTGGTGGATTGGCAGGTGTTGGTCTCTGACAAGAGTATGTGGTCCTCAAAAACGCTGGTATCGGAGGCATAGTCATCACAGCGTCATGTTCCGATGTTGTTTCTCTCAGTAAGCTGGGGCCTTGGGATACAGGAACAGACCTGTGAAGGCTTCGGCGCCCCGTCGAAATGCTCTGGCCCTTCTGAGCCACTGGCTGTTTTGACTCCGCAGACTCCGAATGTTGCGGCGACTTTGCCTTGCAACTTTGAATAACTTGACCTCGGTACAGCATGTAAGACTGCATAGGGAGCAGCGTTCCTGCTGCCAGCGACTCCGTCACCCATGCCAGCTTCAACACCCTGATTTCTTTCGCTGGCTTCGATGGTGTGGGGTCTCCGTCTTCGCTCGTAGAAAGTCTGATTCGTTTTCTTGGCCCGGTCTCCGATGGGTCAGAATTGACAGCTACGTCCAGTGGCTCAGTGAGGACATTCCTGTGCCGCAGTTCGAAGAGTGCTCTTTCTCGTTTAGAGATATTGCCGATGATGACGTCCGCCTCCAGTATATCATACGTTAATGAAGGAATACTTTCCTCAACCTCGTGAAGTCGTCCGGGATTTAGATGTGTGGGGAGAAGAAAGATTGAAGGAAATGGCAGGCTCATGTCGGCAAATCAAAGAATGCTCGCTATGCATGCGTTTTCGAGTCTGCTCATAGGAAACCATTCGTCAAGACATCATCGTGTTCTTGTAGGCGTGCTGTTGCTGTTTGCAGTGGGCATGAGGCAAGCATGAAGCGAAAGAGCATGCGGGGCAGGCAGGTTGACTACTGTTGGCCTTTGTTTATTAGCCCGCGTATGCTGTGGTGACGACGAATGATGTTCATCAGCGAATCACCATTCTGACATCATTGGTACATTTCTGCTTATCTTAACAGATGGACGCACCCAAAAATGTCTAAAAGTTTGGCCCGGTAACCATTTCTAGAGACGAAGGCCTGGATAACGCCTCGGGCCCCTGCAAACAACCTGAACACCCCCAGCATCATGGACGATAATGAAATGTTGTACGCCTCCGTGGCCATGCCTGAGCCAACTTCTCATGAAACATCTTCAAATTCGAGGTCTTCTTCGCTCTCGTCGCCTTCCTGCTGAGCCGGCGACTCAAGCTTGACTCGTTTTGCTGGCAAGTCGTCGGCGCTGTCTTCATGGGAATCTGCGCTTCTTTTATTCGCAGGCGTGGCAGCACTGGCTGGCGTTGCCCCGCTGGAGTTGTTGCCTGTCGCCACAACATCCTCGAAATCGTCCTCGTCCTCGTCTTCCTCGTCATCGCTGCCTTCTTCTGCAAGCGCCCGGGCAGCATCTGCTTCTTGCTGTGCCTTAATAGCCGCGAACATTTTTGCCATTTCCGAGTCATCTTGTTCCTCTCCGCTGCTTTTGATCCCCTCTTTCGAATCAAGTGCTTGCGTTTTCACCGCAGGGGTCGATCCAGAATTCGCCGTGAGATAGGATTCTCCCGTAACAGTGCTGTTGGACATCCATGAAGGTAGCGCATTTTGATGCGCAATCTTATCTTTCCTGGCCTGCTCCGCGGCCTTCTCTGCCTCTGACGGTCCGTCGGATGTGGATATGTTGACTGATAGAGACTTTGGGCCGATATTGTCCAGTCCTTTGACCGATGTAGGCTGGAGGGCTGAGACAAAACCGATGGGGCCCTGGCTGGTATCGGGCGCCAGCGGCTTGTAGGCACTAATGGCTATGTCGAATGTGTTCTCTGGTACGACCACATCATCGATACGCGGCAGCATCTCTGTGATGAACTTGAATTGCTCGTTCAATCTGGTTGACTCTTGATGTCCCGTCGAGTGCCGTTCCAAGTCATGTGTCAAGGGGTACTCGCAGTTGTGACAGAGGAACCCTGCGCTGCTGGCTTTGTCGAGCACCTCCATTTGGGTCCATTCGGCTTTGCACCGCTCGCAGAAGTATTCCTTGCGCTCGCTCACCGGAATGTTCGTGCCCTGTATCTCTTTGTCCACGGTGTACACCCGCCACTTGATTGCGTCGATGGCCTGTCGGTAATCGATGAAGTAGTATTGTTTGTTGATCGGTCGCTTCTGTTCCGGGTTATTCGACTGCTCCGGTCGCGTATATCTATGAACGATGGGGATTAGCAAGGGGAAAGATGTATGTGTGGAAGGTCGTTCCCGTACGATGTGATGAAGCGATCTTCTCGCAGCTTTCCGCAAAGCCTGTGTACCTCTTTTGTGTTCATTCCCAACATAAAGCGCAAGTCTTCGTCCTTGAGTCTGGTCTTCGTTAGTACCTTTGCGCCTTAGGAAGATTCGCGAATACGCGCTGAAACGTACGCCGAGTGAATAATTAGGGCGTCAATGACCAGGACATAGTTGTTGTCGTAGAAGGCTCGAACCACCTGCCTGACCAACGTCTTGGCCATGTCCAGTGGAGGCGCCATGCTCGTCGATCGAAGATTCCCAGGTGAAGTGACAGTGATGTAGTATTTGAATTAAGGATCATGCGACCAAGAAGGCAATCCTACGGCAGCAGAAGAGTTCAGGTTTGCGCGTGTGTCGATGTGTTGGGCAAGTGGTCCATCGCCGACAAGGTAGGAAGGTCAAGCGTCGCGCCAGCCGGTAGAATTGTTTGCGCAAGCCTGCTGAAGTGGGAATAGTTCGGTGGAGGCAGAGTCAATTTCACGCTAGTCTCTCGATTGTATATCCCGAAGTCGACTGTGATGAATCGTCGTGGGATGGTACTCGCCAATATATTGAAGGTGGTGGCCCAATGCTGGAACAAGGGACGAAAGTCGTAAACTACTGTCACGAACTTCAAAGCAGCCGTCAGATTCGATGTTGCCCACGAGTACTGCACCGAGCACTGGTGTTGGTGGGGTTTGTACGGGTCTGACCCACTAGAGCTGTGACCAATCAATACTACAGCTGGCTAATGCTGCAGGTACATCTGCAATGGATCAGCGCAGCCGCACAGGACTCTCAGCGCCGCTCTAACAGCCAGCGTGGTGCAAGCCATGTTCAAGCTCCCTTGCCCCAGATCAATTCAAAGAATGCAGCCAAACTGATGAGAATTTCCCGCAGCGGTCAATTGGAGAGAAGCAAGCCTAACACCAACCAAAACGCCAGGTCAACCGGTCATACCCGGTCGGAAGTGAACCGGATTGCATCTCGCGCCTAACGCACCACTGACCAAGTCGAATCCCCCTCGCCCAAGCATAACACACGACCTTCAGATTCTAGCACCCAGATCTCCAGATACCTGCGCAACAGGTTGCAGCAGGCAGAGGAATTGCACCCACGCCATCAAAACCTGTTCTTTCAAACATACTTTCGAAGCTATGCAGATTGTTAGCAAAAGAGTCGATAAATTTCAAAGTTGTGATCGCAGATAAAAGTAGACTTACGTCAAGCGTCAACGTCCTCGAGCTGTTGATTTCCTGGTCACGGTAGACTCCTACAAGGCTCTCGCTGTCCTGGAAAAGTCCTGCCTTGAGACTGATGACGACAAACTGCATACCGGGTCCGGCATGCTCCCGGATGTACTTCTTGATCTTGTCAACGTTGGCGTTGTCGAGCGCGGCATCAACCTCATCGAGGACAAAGAAGGGGCTCGGCTGGTAGCTGTGGATGGCAAAGAGTAGTGCCAGCGCTGCCATAGTCTTCTCGCCACCCGAAAGGAGATCCATGTCTCGGAATCGCTTGAGGGGAGGCATGGCATGGTATTTGATGCCCGCCAGGTAGGGAGTGTCGTTGTCTTCTTCCTTGTCCAGGTATGCTTGGCCACCGAGAGGGTACGCGTCAGAGCGTGTAAGATCCTTGTAGACGGTCTTGATCTGTTCCGAGATGTGTGTAAAGGCCTTGTTGAAGACCTCATACCTTTTCGTCTTGATCACGTTGAAGGCATCGCGAGCTTCTTTGAGCGCTACTCGCGAGTCTTCGAACTCGCGTTCGGTGTTCTTTAACCTGGTCTCAACACCTTCCAACCTCTCCATTGCCTTCATGTTAGGGTTGATCTTTTCTAACTCCGCCGCAAGAGTGTGTATCCTCTCCTTGAGGGTTTCGCTCATGCTCTCGTCATTGGACTAGCACACGCGTTAGCAGGCTGCTCCCCAAGTCAAACACACCGTCCAGAAGGAAGGGACCATGAGCTCACATTCTTCAGCTCGTCGCTCAGCCCATCAAAATCAATCATGATGCCATGATCATCGAGGGCAGCATCCAACATTCCGTCGTCCTCGTCGTCGAGGTCCATGGCATCAGGGTCCTGACGCAACAAGTTGTCCTCCCTAGGCAGGTTGTCCAATGACCCATCAACCAGCGGGATGTCGATTCCGTCCATCTTGCACTTTCTCAACAGCGCAAACTTGGCGGCACCGTCCTTTTGCACACTTGTTTCAAGGGCATTGATGTCCTTCTGCCTCGCTTCGATCTCTTTGCTGCGACTCTTGACCTCTGCCTTTGCCTCGGCGACCTTCTGGCTACGCTCTTGCTGCTCTGCGCGGGCGACCTGCAGATTCTCACGCAACGCATCCAGCTCGTCCGAGACCTCGCCCATTCTATCTTCGATCTCCGATTTCTGTTGTTCGTACGTTTGCAGGTCTTTCTCGAATTGCTTCAGCTTCCTCTCCATGGATGCCACGCGACCTTCAAAGTCTTTGAGTCTTGACTCGTTCCAGGCAAGGGTGCTCTTCAGCCTCTCTTTTTGGACTTCAAACCTGTTTCGTTCTTCTTCGAGTTGACGTTGCAAACCCTGGTGCTCTGCATCGTACGCTCGGATATTACTCAGACCCAACCTTTTGCAGAAGTCACCGAAGACTCGGTCCTCCACCTGTGAGATGGCTGCTCGGAAATTCTCCAAGGTTTCGGTTGTTGATCGTAGCTCGGCGTTCTTCGCAGCGTACTGAGGTTCCCAGTCATGAAGCTGCTGGGCTTGGTGGTCTCTTTCCCGTGACTTGCTGGCGTGGTTCTTCTCAAACTGAGCCAATTCATATTTGGCAGCCGCCAGTTGAGGCTCTAGCACTTGTAGATCAGTACGTAGGGTATCCTCCGCACGCCTATCAGTTGCCGGCA